CATGAAGTGTTAAACGCGCCGAGTTATGTAGCAGACTGTGAGTCATTTGGAGCCATTGACTTGCTGCTTTCCTGTGAAGAGGGAGCGAATAATTGTGGGTATCAGTGAAGACTGAAATCGGGGGACGTCTAAATGTCAGGGGCGTGAGGAGAGAGAGAGATGTTTGCATAAGAGGGCCAGGGGCACTTGTCTATCTCCCATATGGCCCTCATTATAATGAAGAAGCCTTGTGAGTCAACACCATAGCATCCTTGAGTCAGCCAGTCACAAGAGACAATCCATAGCCTATTTTGGACCGTATGTTTCAGGTCTCTCAGTACTTGAGATATTAGACATTATCAGTATTTCATGAGTTACTTAATCTGAGATGCCAGCTCAGATGGTCTGTGCACTGCTGAGCTGTAATAGCTCTCTATTTGAGAAGCTCGGTGTAAAATGTTTTAAAAGTAATTGAATGATTGCTGACAAGTGGTGGGCAGCTTTCGAGCAACTTTTGAAACTTCACCAATAAATGATAGATTTTCTCTCAGTGCTTTCAGATGACAGCCCGATGTCATCTTGACATTTCCAATCTGTGTGGTATTTCCTAACAACGTGGGCCAATCTTCATTTAATAGCCCTCGCACCTAATTAGGCCAGCTCTAATGTTCCACTCGGCAGAGTGTCAAATCCAATGTCCAATTACACAGCAGATCAAGGCCAAAGGTCCGCCTTCACTACCTCTCAGGCTGATTATAGAAGAAGTGCCATGATATACATCACATTGAAACAGGTCTGTCAGAGGAAGAAAGAAATGCACATACATGGGCACACCACGCTTCCACACACACGCATAAGGGGATCAATACCGCAGGCAAAGAGGGACTGAGGGTAGCTCACTAAAACCCCGCCTGTCTATTTCAGACAGAGTCTCTCTGTTACACCAGGCGAATGCACAGAGGCCTCTCAGTGCTGAAGTCAGACCACGATGAAGAATAGCAGGTCTGAACATTACCAGAATGTTAAAATCAATCAAGTCGAAGTATTGATGTATTTGTGTGCAGATAATCCACGAGAATGCAACGATTACTCCATTTTTTTTACACTTTGAGAATGAAAATGACTGGAAATCTGCCTTCTTTTCTGAAATCTTATTTGGTTTAATTAAAACTTAACTTGTTTGTTGCACCTTTTTTTTCTTCTTCTGAAACATATGTCAATGATCAAATCAAGCAGAGCAGACCTTCTCCAGATGGCTCAGCTTCACTTGTTTAATGCTGGGATTGACACCAGATGCTAAACACAATGCGTGGGTTTCACCTGGATACACAGCAACAAGATAAACAGCCTTGCGCTCACGTGTATCAGAGCTGAAGTCCCACCTGGAGGTGTCTTTATGAGAAGAGATGGGCTGAGGCAAATGGTTTGACTGAGAAATGACATGTGACTGAGATGGGTTTTGGTTAAAAAGAAAAATACAAGATTTTTTCTATGGATGAGTTGAAGGATGGTTCACTTTAACTTATTCTGTTGTAGTGCAATGCATCACTTGAAAGAACCGAAGAATATTGATGGCATTGTGTTTTAGGAAATCGATCCTGTGACACAGCAACCCGGATTCTCTTTTTTAAAAAAAAGTTTTTCTTTTTCAGAAGATGAAAACTTTCTGCTCCTTTAAAAAAGTGAGCTTCTGTAGACCAGATGCAGAGGAGAGATGGAGGGCAGTGCACAGTTGGGGTGGGTTGAGGCTGTGGGTTAGAAAGGAGGGGCAATCGTGCACGCGTGTGTGTGTGTGTGTGTGTGAGCATGTGCGAATGTGTGTGTATGTAAGGAGGAGACTGCTGCGGTAATTGCTAGGGAAGAGCCATGTGCACGAAGGACGTTGAAGCTTATTAAAGGAGGAGACAGAGTGATTATTCACTATGGTCCTCTTGAGAGACTGACGCTGAAGTCATTGCTTTTAATTAACTCTGAAACGGTTTTGCGGATTAATAACAATATTAAGAAGGGAACGGAGAGGAAAAGCGCAAACACATCCTGGATCTGGTTCAAGCTTTTTAATTACAATTAAATAGACTCGATGGCACAATAGCACAATAACTATCTCTTTTCTGTCCTCTTTCTTTCTTCTCCTTTTACTGCGTCTATTAAATTTATCTTCTTATAGCTGCTGCCATGTCTCTCAGGATGTGTCCAAGACAGGTTGTAGCAAAGCATTGATTTATTGGAAAGAGTTTAGGATCGGTTGGGATATTTGGCACCAAAATAAAAAGAACATGCAAAGAAGAAGCCAAAAAAAAAAGTGTGAGAAGAGGAAGCTGGAAAGTGAATAAAGTGTGCTGTGCTGAAAATAGATTTTCCTTTTGTTTGTTTACCAAAAACTGCAACTTTTTGCTCTAGCTTGAAAAGTGTCAAAGTTCTGGAGACAGTGTTTGGATTCCACTTGGTGCCCTTTGCCAAGTTAAAACACAAAGTGGAAGAAGAGGAGAAGAAAATAAAGTAACCTCTGGATGCTTACGTTCGAAACAGCTTGTAAGAACCCCAGGAGTAGGAGGTGCACATGCTGGAGTAAAACAGTTCTGCAAGGCCTGGAAACCCACCACTTCAATAACGCCAAAAGATGATAAAATACTGGTATTGTCTGCAATTCCCTGGCCTCCCCTATCCCAACTCACAGTGTAGCTTTTTGCTGCCTTAATGAGCTGAGTAAAGCACCAGTGTGACTGTAGGAGTTTCAGTTTGACTCTGAACACTTCAGCAGAGATGTAGCATAAGTTGCCCAACATTTATAACTATTCACAGTCATTTACACAAACTAAGTCTCTGGGGCCTCCTCCATCAGCCAAGCAACCTAATAAACACCATGGAAGGACTGAACATTTATGCATAAGCTGTGCATAGGACACAAGAAAACAGAGAAAGAGAAGCAGTTACCACTTTATAAACATTACGCGGGTCTCTGGTGATGCACACTGTGTGCGTCTAACTTAAGTACCTCCACACCCTCCTCTTGGGAGCACAATGAAGCGGGAACAGAAGGCGTTTTATAGGAACATATGTTCTTCTTCCCCTATTATATATCAATGCTTTTACGCCCACCCAGAAACATTACTGTTGAGTGAGACATTATACTGTATATAGAAGGCAAATGTTGTAACTCTTTTTTTCTCCCTGGGTTTGAACTTGGTGAGGTTAAAGGATTTAACCTCTATCTCCCTGGGTGACACAGTAGTTTCACACCAATTCTTATTTCATCTCTAAATCTCACATATCATGACCACAGCACTTGTTCTTGAGCACCCCATATTAACTATTGCATATTTACATTTTTTTTAAACAGGTCACTTAACATTACAAAAGGGGAAAAATAGCCATTATATATGTTTTATAGTATTTAATAAATGTGAAGCAGGTCTTTTAAATTGCATTTGGAGGCTGAGTCTCAGAGGATCAATCTCATTGCTGTGTACCAGGCTGTGAATCACTGTGAAACTCTGAATGTGGTCCAAATATAATACATTTCATGTGACTTGAAACAAGTGTTCTCATATGATGTTAATTTAAAGCTGAAATGTCTGTCACATTTCCAAAACGATGAATATTGTGTCTCAGTTTGGGTAAAGTATTCTGACCATGCATGGTGGCAAGGAATTAAGTGCAGCAGAGCTTGTAACGCATCCAGTTTCAGCCCACATTAGTAAAGCATAATAATGTGTGAAGTGCAATGTGAAGGTTATTATTTTTATTATTGTTATTTGCCACGATTTCCTCTCCTATAATAGAGATTTTATTGTTTCGTGTGCAGGTTGCAGGCTGAAACGTGAAATCAGGTAAAATAGATCTGTTTTTATAAACACGGATATTATTTTCTTTACTGCAAATACTGCTTTTTGGTGTCTGTGATTACACTTGCAGCAAACGACAGTGTTTGATATGGGCTCAGCCACAAGCTGGTTAAGCAAAACAAAGAATAACTGTAGCATGGCATCCGATCTGCTTACAGGCAAACCATTTTACTGAGCCGTTTTGAAGATAAGAGATCTGACGGCGGGTGGGAAGCCTGATCTGGTACGCATTGCCAACCTGAGAAGACCCTCCGGGGCGCACAATAATGTTAGCTCCCCATTAAAATGATGCATCAAAGAAAGCGATAATAGATCATGCAGACGTCCTAATGCATTTATTACGACTGTAAAGGCAGATGGATTGGTCCGCGGTGTCCGCTAAGCTTCCACATGTAATGTACAGTTAATATGTTGTAAGCGAAATTTCACATTTCCCCATCTGCTACTTTCACTCACAGCGACTATGAGGATAAAGTTATGTCGCAACAGAATGTTATAATAATAATATTATTAATAATACTTACAATAACCCTCCCTACTGACATTTATATGGAGTATAATTCGTCCTCCGAAACTGATAAAATGAAAGTAAAGCCCCCTAGAAAATTCAGTCTTGTAGGTTCAAAAAATACTTTCTACTTCTGCAATTTGTTTTAATAAACACTCGAGCGTTTTCACTCTAAAACAATTTAGATACTCAACTGCACAAACTGCGATCACGTTGCTTCCACTTCAGGAAAATCGATACGCACGATAGTTTTTTTTCCTTTTTCTTTCTTTCTTTTTTTTTTTTTTGTGGCTAATTTTACAGTGTACAAGCAGAAAGATCGGTCGCACCCCACGCTCAGTCCACACCGTGACCGTCCTCTAGATCGCGGGACGCGGCAGTGTCAGGACGCATCATGCAAAGAGGGGACGCACTTGCAAACGGTCAACACATCTTTATCTCTAGGCGCGGTGTATGCCACAGCTGCGCGCTCTAGGCTTTGGAGGCGGACGACAGATGCCCAACTTGTCTCGCAATGTCACTTTTTATTTGCAGGGTGTGTCATGAAGCTACTTCTTTAAGCAAGAGAGCCACAGAGGAAGCGGGAGAGGACAGGAGAGTGAGCATCAGAGGAGTCAGATAGTCTTACGCTGAGAAAGAAAACTCAGAAAAAGTTTCAAAGCACTAACCTGGCCATTCTTGCAGAGGTCTGCCCACATGCTTGTGCCGTCCCCTCCTCTCATCAGCACATGGTAGATGAAGAAGTATGTACCCGGTATGCTGCAGATGAACTTGCCCGAAATGCCATCATAGTTGTTGCCCAAGTTGGTGACCACATCGTCAAACTTGAGGATCTCGTAGCCTTCGTGGGGATTTTTAAGCCCTGCATAGAAGGCCACCCGAGGTACTGTGCTGTAGGTGGCTGTGCTGATAGCTCCGTTACCCCCCAGACCCAAAATCCCAGTCCTTCCTTGATCTCCTCTGTCACCAGGAGGTCCAGCTGGTCCTGGTGGCCCTGGTGGCCCTGGTTCTCCCGGCGGTCCAGGTGGTCCCGGTTTGCCTGGCCTGCCAGGCTTCCCCTGTGGGCCCTGCAGTAAGGTGGAGGGTGGAAGCACATTGCTGTGGTCACTCAACGCCTCTGCCTCAGCCTGAAGACCGGTTGAGCTCGTGCTGCTGGCTGGAGTGCCTTTGTTCATGTAGGGATCACACACCATACGGCAGGTGCCCAGCATCTCATAGTGGCTGGCATCTGTACCCACGGAGCTGACGAGCACGGGGATGAGCACCACCAGCACCAGGACCAGCATAACCCCTACGGCAGCCGCCACCAGGGTCTTCCTCCCGATGCTGAGTCGGGGAAGAGGCTGCGCTGCCAGCGTGGGTCTCCCGGGGGCGGAAATGGTGACTGCTTGGTGTGGGGAGCCTGTCACCGAGGAAAGGGATCCACAGATCCCAAGAAGAGTTGCAAGAGGAGCGGCGAGTGTGTGAGGGTGAGACAAAGACCCACATACACTTGATACACCTCACTGCTCCACTAACTCACTCTAAAGTAACCAAGCAGTCACTCACACACACAAAAAATAGTTAAGGAAACCCAAGCATCCACACGAAGACATTCAGCACGTACTTACAAACACAATCTGACTTGTGAGAAGAAGCAAGAAGGATGCAGAGCCCAAAGGAATGGAGTGAGAGACAGAGGGAGCGAGACAGAGAGAGTGAGTGAGTGAGAGAGAGAGAGAGAGAGAGGAGGATGAGAGTGGGTGAGTGTGAGAGAAACAGAGCAGTCACTGGATCTCTGTGACTGTGTCTGTGTGTGTGTGTGTGTGTGTGTGTATGTGTGTACGTATAGTGAGTTAGTGGAGCCGGATTCTCAGGCTTGGCTTTTTATATGGCAGAGCAGCGGAGCCTCCCCCCTTCCCCTCTGCTCCCCTACCGAGTGAGGGGCTGGTGTGGCTACGTCCCCTTCTCTCTCTCTCTCTCTCTCTCTCTCTGGCTCACTCAGCAGAAGGACTCTCATCACACTGCATTTCTTTCAGCCACGCTCCGAAACCACAGAGGAACCACAACTACCCCCTGACCACCTTGCTCCCCCTCTTTCAACCTTCTCGTTCCTCCTCTCCTTGCTTTCCCTCCTTTCCCCACTTGGGATGTTGTTTCTCACTCCTTTGCTTTCTCCTCTCTCTCATCAGCATCCAGTCTCTAAAAATAAAGATGGAGCTGTGGAAAGCCAATCTTTCTTTTTTTTTTTCCTGGAGGTGGGTTCTAAAGATTCATGCATATATGTGCAGACACAAGACAACATTTAAGTCTTCCATGCCAGGAAATGCTAGCAGCTTCTCAGGAAAAAAAAAAGGTGCTAATTATAAAAGTTAATGCCAAGAACATACCAGTGAGCCAACAGAATGACCATACAACCACACATGTAACCTGTTCTTAAAGGTTTGAGTGTGTGTGTGTTTTTTTTTTAATGATCTCAGTGGAACATCACTTCTACCCCACTCTTCGGGGCAGCCGGCATTGACGCTCCTCTGCTGATATTTTTTTTTCTCTACTCCCCTTCCCCCTGTGTCAATAAGACTGTTTCTTTTCTCCACCTGAATGTGCTGACACCATTTCTTATTTGTGTCTTTTTTTAGGTATCGATTTCATGGTTTTTATCAAATTAAGGGTCCTTGTTGGGAGGAAAAAAAAAATCCATATGCAGCAGTGATGTCATTTGTTTGACATTTTCATCCCTTGGTGTGATGAATGGTAAAGTAAGAAAGCAAATGACAAAGTTTGTAGATGGCAAACGGAGTCATCATGAAATGTGTGTTTGGGTTGCAGCAATTTTGTTTTGCTTGTTTTTGGTCAACTTTAAATCAGAACACAAAAAGAACTAATATGTGATGGATGGAGAAAATCTGGCAAGTCTGTTCATGCAAATGGAAACCTATGAAAAATAGGATTCATAGGATTTTACAGAAGCAAGCGTAAAAACAGCAGTGGTGGGCTTATTCCTTTATATCTAAATGTATCTTTTATGTATTTAAGCCAATGCAGCTAATAGAGTAACAGAATGCATTTAAAGTTCAGATCCAGATCAAGTTGACTGAATTGAAAACATGTTACTATTATAGGTCTCATTGATAAAATGGCACAGTATGCTTTAAAGTTGCAGTAATCCAGTGTTCCCATTTTTAGATTATTTTTGCCGTGGCATATGCACACATATTTGGTTAAGGTCACGTTTTTTAGCACACCAGGTGTTTTTATAGATAGATTCCACTAATCTTTTTAAACTTGTGTTAATTAGTGAAATCGGCCCATGTGGTCATTGGTTGGAAAATATTTCCAGACTCTTGGCTTTCTCAGCGTTGCCTATTTCTGGCTTTGATAGGACAGTTTGTTCCTGAGCTGGACTGCGCTCTTGTGACGGATTGAGATGGATCAATGAGCAGGATGCCTGACTATTTGTCACCACTACACTTGACATATCACCAGTTATTTTGCTGTATTTCTGACTCTTCATCATCATTAAACTTCAGGCACAAACTTATGGCATCACCAGTTGGTTGTCTAATTTATCACAGAGCAGAAAGCGTGAGACATATCCAAATAACTGGCACACCAGGTGCACCCGCAATGCATATTTGGCTGTTTTGTTCTATTCCTCATAACAGACATGGAGTTTGCCTATATGACGAAGTACACAGGGCCTAAATTGGTTTTGGGGTTTGCTTAAGGGGTCATTGTTTGTTCTTCACACCTGCCGGCTGTAAGTGACAGTCAGATCACTGTGCCTAAATCTCTAAAGCTCTGCACCACAGAGATCAATGCACACTAGAGAGGACAAACAGAATGCTATAGTGATGAAAGAGAGATGAGAAAGACAGAGAGCCAACCAGTAGCGATGGGAGCAAGAGGTACAACATAGGCGGGCACTACCTGCTGTAACAGCTGAAGTATCTGTCAGTGGAGCTGGTTTGTTTTGCATGATTGCATATAAAGAGATCATCTGTAGGTGTAATTAGTGGTGAAATTCAATTGAATGTTGCTGACATCATGCTTTGAGATCTGAATAGCAGTATGACAGAGAGATAAGTCAACTGAATTTCTTCTTTCCTTTTTGTTTTTAAATTTTATAGTTATTAGTTGTTTAACCCTGTGATTTCTAAGTCATTATTGGTCGTGACCATAATCCTATGGTGTCAGAATATATAATTTTTGTTTTTTTACTAATTTGTTCTCCAGAGTCTGTAAAGTCTATGAACTGAAACGCATCGAAAATGTCAAATTGTTTTTCCAAAATTGACTTTTCACATCACTTTGAGGTTAGAGTTTAGAGGTAGGGTTTGTGTCATCACCACTGAAGAGGTTAGTTGTTGTTTACACTTGGATGTTAATCAGTGCTTCACTACCTGGCTAACTTGGAATCCTTGGTTGGGGTCTTTGTGGGGACTACCGGGTGACATTAATGTTCACATGGGCAAAGACAATGAAACCTGGAGGGACTGCCTTCCTGATCTGAACCTGAGTGGTATTTTGTTCTGTTTGAGTATAAAGATATTTATAAATGCGCTTGGCAACATGGCCCCCTAGGCTGCAGGGCCATTAAATTTGTATTTCTCCAATAAGGTCTGTGGCTGTATGTCCTGGAAAGTTTGTTGAAGAAAGGAGCTGAGCCGTCAGATGACTTTGATGCCGAGGAAAATGCCAGGCAGGCTTGGTGCACCCAAGTGTGTAATGATGGTGTACTGGGTGAATCTGCAAGGCCTGGAACTGGAGCTCTTCAACTCCCACATCCGGCAGGATATCAACAGCAGCAACTCCTGAATCCCAAAAGTGGAAAGAGAGTGGAG